GATTAGGAAAAGGATGGACAGAAAGGCGACTGCAGGAGATCCCCTCCCTTGCACAACACTCATTCCCTGTCCTTGCTGTCCAAGAATTTTTTGGGACCGAATCGGCCTCATACTTCGCACTCATACTTGATTAAAAAAAAGAGTGGTCATCGTCATCTTGATGAACAACACACACTACAACAACTACAGCTACAATTACAACTACTACTACTTCTACTACTACTAATATTACTACTAGTCCTACCAGAACTACTACTACTGCTGCTGCTACTACTACTACAACTACTACTACAACTACCACTACAACTACTACTACTACAACTACTACTACCTCCACCATTGCTACTACCACTACTACAGCTACTACACGACAACTACAATAACTACTACTACTACTATGATGACGTGTTGTGTTTTGTTGCACCAAATGCTGACCGCATGAATCCCCTCCACAGTTCTGGACTTCACGAGGACAGCTAACTCCCGACGACATCTACTGTGGTCATCTCCGATGTGTGGCCAACAGTTCTTTGAACATCATCAACATGGCCATATATGATACCACAGAGAAAGGCAACTCCGTGAAACTTGCCTCCATCTCAGTGTTTGCCCCGGAAGTGAATGTAGACCCATCCAAAATTCACGTCATCAATGCCACAGGGACCATCTCAAATTACGACGGGGTCTTGAATGTCAGGTTCTTAAGAGACGTCGATTGCTTGTACGGGGCGTTTCAGTGTGAACTAGACTTCTTTAACATCAATGGCCAACCGGATGTGATTAGAGAAAACCTGGCACCAGCCACCGAGGAAAACGGTAATTAGGGATAGTTTTGTTTGCACTGTTCAGTCTTTTCATGTGAATATTTTTTTAGGGAGACAACGGATCACAACCTATGGCGATGGCGAGTGTGACTAGCAAGACCCGCTTGCGTTTAAAAAAAGTCTCCAGCAATATGATCATGACGTTTCTTCCTAGAGGCTCGTAACCTGTGTGCAGTCTTTTTTCTTGTTTATCCATTTTGCATTCCTAATATCCATTTTGCCCGCAACAGAGTCCCCATCATCGAGTTTCCATGCATCCACAATTCAAGAAATTTGTCGTTGTCTTTTTCCTTTTGTCCAACTAATTAAATTGAATTGCAAAGAGAAGTTAGATATCGCTTTATGTCTTTAATCCTTCTAGTTATCCCTCTACATTCTTAATTCTATTAGTCCAGTTTATGAATGTTTGTAGGTTTTTTTTTTTTTTTTTAGTAATTGCCTACGTTGTTCTTCATTTTTCCGCTCCATACAACAATTCTTTTTTGACATTAAAATAAAAAATTTTAAATTTGGTATTAGTTTTAATTGACTTTTACCGTCACAGATTTTCTAGAGCTATGAAAACTACTTTTGCCTTTTGTATTCGTACTTTACTATCTCTGTTATTTTCCTCATCTGTAACAACATTACTGCCCAAATGTGTTTACGACTTCGTGTCTTGGAACTGGATACTATTAAGACAGTGGTTCTAAACCTTTCTTATGCCCCAAGCCTTTAATAGAGTTCTCTATGTTGTGGTTACCCCCAGTCATAATTTCCTTCGTTGTTACTTCATAAATTAAGTGAATATGTGTTTTCCTATTGTCTGGCGCCCCTGTGAAAAGGGTCGTTCGACCCTCACAGGGTCGCGACCAACAGGGTTGAGAACCGCTGTATTAAAAGAAACCCTATTACTATTTGGTTTATTCTCATTATCGTTGTCTTTTCTTTGTAAGCTTTTATACCTAGCTGTTGAAAGTCCACTAAAAGAGTAAGTGTGAGACTGGAGACTTCTCCCTTAGAGCAGCGGTTTTTAATCATCTTCCAGGTGGCGAATGCACCCCTTTACCCCTCTAAATAATCTCTAAGTAATCTCATTAAAAATAATAGGACGAAAAGAATAATCCCATTACTAAAAGAAATTCAAGAAAACCACGCACAAGAATCTAAGGGTCATATACCATTTAAAAAAAAACGCTAAAAACTAGTAATTTGGCGTTCAAATATGAGTGTGATGGTTGACACCATTTTGTTTCGATGATATCTGCTGTTTTTGGTCTGACGTTGGACAAAAAAGACAACGGAAATCACTCTCAACATCAAACTGGTAGCGCTGAAATGACTGGTAATATTTTATTTTTATTTAATCTGAAGGAAACAATATTAGTAGTGTATGAAAATTGCGTGACGCCAACCCCCCCCCCCACCCTTTTTTAAACTTTCTTTCACACCCCTAAGAGACCGACACCCACCCCCACACCCCTACCCCCCCCCCCCCTCCAAGATAAAACCGTTCTTTTACCTTTTTACAGCTGTGGAAAATAGGAGTTAGAGTGTCAAGAGCCTATGTGGCTATGGGACGACTGTAGGTGATGATAGTGAATGACGAATTAGCATTTAGATGACGGCTTAGCGACTACGTATTCAACGGCCCACGGGAATTTCTGTCCCCGAGATTGTAACGAACGAGTGAATACTCCAGGATTCAGGGAGATTTTACTAAACCGATGGTGAACTTTGGACTGAACAAAACGGACAGAGCAATGCGTTTTGGGGGAGTTCGTTGGGCAGAGACTGTGACAGAGGCGTAGTGTTTCGACGACTAGGTTTTTCGTTATTGATTTGAGTTAGCGACGATTAGATTGTGGTAACGTGTTAGCTTAAAGGTATTATAATTTAAGTGTTAATTAGGCAGTCTAACGTCAGTGTCATAGAGAGATAGTCCACTATATTTAACGTTTTTTTTTTTTTACTAGGTACTTAGCTGTGTCTTAGTTGGGTGGTTCGCGATAGAGGTTTGTCAGTAAAGAAGAAGACGAGAATGAGTTTGTTGGTCTAGTACCCAGTCGACTCGACGCTGTGACCTAGTTTTCTGATATATCTATCCAAAGCCGTTCACCTAACCAGTGTGAGGTCGATAGGTAGTACCTTTGTGCCAAATTGGTTGCCTACCAGTAACCTCTGTTGCGCATCGTAACGCTGTGATTTAAGGTCATCTAAGACAGGCGTCAGAAAGAAGAGGATCTCAATCATTACCCTCATTGTTCTTGCAGCCACCATCTTGTATAGCCTTTTCAAAATTGCGACACAGCTAAAGGAATTTTCCGAGGAGACGAGCAAACAGCTGGAGGCACTGAAGAATGACAATGAAGCTTTGAAAAACGACAATGCAGTTTTGAAGACCGTTTTAGGCAGTGCCTTGGTGGATTTATCCAGACTGCTAAATTCTACACTTGACAAAGATCAGGTACGGTATTTTGTTTGTCGGCGTATATGTACGTTTGTTTGTCTAGTTACCTAAACATGCATGCTAAATGATATGCGAAACAAAATGACTGTGATTTCATGAAGTTTTGCTGTATAATAAGCAAAACCAAAGGATTTAAACTGCATTTAAAAGTCTATGGCTAAGCCCTAGCAAGGAAATTAGGGTCATAATTAACAAACAGGTGTCATTGGGGAAGAAAATATGGGCTTTTGAACTGAAGTTCCCTGTGTGGGTTCCGGTGCCCTATTATAGGGCAAACAAGAAGAGACCCGTGCCTACCCAAAAGCATGTCGTAAGAGTCGACTTATTGGGAGTTTCCTTCGAAGTTGGAGTTTATCTGCCTGAGAGGCAAGTAACCAGCAGTCTGCATACAAATGAGTCAGATATGTTAAACGGATGCAGACGCAACACTCAGGTTCTGGAACAGGACTGCTGTCAAGAAGTGGATGAACAAAGAGAACTTTCCGACAGAATTCAAAGCTTGTGAACGCTAAGAAAAGAGAGAGAAGAAAAACTGAAGTGTCATAGAAAAATTTTCAGAATGCAATGGCCAAGAAGACAAAAAATACGGATCTGAACATTAAGGAAGATTGGCTAATAAACAGCATTCTGTCTCAGCGGACTGAATTACTTTGACACTATCAGGCATTACAGCGAATAAGAAACAATTGTTGCAGAAGGTACTTTGCCAAGAAAGAGTAGCAGGGATCGACCAGCACGAAGACACATACTGCGTATAAGCGACAAGTTAAGTAGGAAAGTGCAACAAGCGGGAGAACTGGCGAGAGACCCAGTTTATTACAGGTTTGCTCTGATGGCAGCGACGTTCTGCGAAGCACCTGCTATTACATGAATAGTTCAAAGGACCTTTTTCATGCCATCATCACATCGTTCAGACGGTACAAGTCCTATAAATTTATAGATGATTAGGGGCTCCTTGGGTGAAATGGTCCACACCCAACTGACGACATTACTCCAGATGACATTCTCTTTTACCCATTACAGTCTGGATTGCAGATTCAAACCCAAGACCTCAGTGCCGACGGCCAAGCGTTCAGTCATTGAGCAATAGCAGCCCATGGGATCGATACCTGCTAGCAATAAAATATTTTAAAATCTGCAAAGGAAAAAATGGTGACTGACATCAGTGACGCAAAAGATTTATACAGTTATGTTCCTGAATAATTTATGCAGCAAATCGGGGACATGTCTTTATGTAGGTCTTTATAGTTTTTGGTGGGATGTTATCTGGACCTGCAACCTTCATTTCTTTCAGAGAGTTGGTAGCTTTCTTGATTTCATCATCATCATCATTATTATTATAATTATTTATTATTATTATTATTATTATTATTATTATTATTATTATTATTATTATTATTATTATTATTATTATTATTATTATTTTATTATTATTATTATTTGTATTATTATTATTATTATTATTATTATTATCATTACTACTACACGTTAATATGTGTATGTACATTAAACACCCCCCCCCCACCCTTTTTCTTTCAGCCCTCCCCCCCCCCCCACACACACACACAGACTCAAGGGATCTGAGCCTTTCCAGTGTTTTCTTTGTGTCACCAACCCTGACTCCTCCTCGTTCTGCTGCTACTAATATGCAGGTTCATGTATGTCCAGTGAACTCCTGTTGTTTTTGTCTGTATCTCAACACATCTGTTATTTCAGCAACCCGGAAGCTCATGTTACCGGGGTATGCCTCACAAAAGTCCCAGGGAGAAGTTTGTCCTGCAAGGGAAACTCCTGGCGCTGTGTGACACAGAGACTAATGGTGGAGGTTGGGTAATCATACAGGTGACATGTTAACGATTTTATTTCAAACAGGCAGTTAGATTTGTATCCTATTACGTGATCAATTTTTGCTATGACTATATTCCAGCAGCGGCGTCCGTGGCTAAGGCGTTGCGAGTCCGACTCGTAAGCCAGCATACCGCGATCGAAACCCACTGCAGGCTGCGTGGATTTTTGTCGTGGTATGGGGACGTCGCAGGTTGACCCAGCCTAAAATGGGTACCAGGATGGGCTGTCCTGGGAAAGTAAAGACAGCCGGCGTAATGCTGACCACATTACCCACAGAGTGCTGATGGTCTGTAAAAATATGGGACGCTCTGCCCATATGCCCGATGCGCCGAAAGGCGTGAAAAGGGAACTTTACTTTTTTTTTTACTTTTATATTCCAGCATTTTATAAAAAAAAGGACACTTTGTGCAATAAATCCATCTCATTGTAGGTAAGGGGACGAATTCTCGCATGCTACATAGAGCCAGTTTTAACATAAGGTTGTGAATCCTGGACAATTAACAGACCAAAACGATATCTTGAGGCCTATGAGATGTGGTTTTATAGAAGAATCCTTAGAATTCCTCGGACAGCTAAGAAAAGCAACCCAGATGTTTTGAAAGGGTGGAGTGCTCGAAGACAACTTATCACGAACATGAAAAAGATACAGTCATCATTCTTTGGTCACGTAATGAAAAGAGGTAGAATGGAACACGTTGTGACCACTGAAAACATTTGTGGAAAGAGAGACAGATGAAGATATCGTGAAAAGATTCTTGGCAGTCTTTTGTCATTGTTTAGAGGGGTGTCAACATACGAACTGATACACGCAGTGGCGGATCGCAGATGAAGAGGCATGATCGCCCACGCCATTCGGCAAGGCAGTTGGTGAGGATGACAGAATGGTGATCCGGGGTTTCTCTAGCATGGACACTCACTCTTGGGGGTTAGATTTCAAACAGTCAGTGGCTTCTATCGACCCCGATAGGGGTTTCCAATTTTGTGTAAATTATATTATTCTAAGAACAATGTTGTTGTCTGAACTATTCTGTTGTCTGAACTATTCTGTTGTCTGAACTATTCTGTTGTCTGAACTATTCTGTTGTCTGAACTATTCTGTTGTCTGAACTATTCTGTTGTCTGAACTATTCTGTTGTCTGAACTATTCTGTTGTCTGAACTATTCTGTTGTCTGAACTATTCTGTTGTCTGAACTATTCTGTTGTCTGAACTATTCTGTTGTCTGAACTATTCTGTTGTCTGAACTATTCTGTTGTCTGAACTATGTTAGTGTAATGACTATAAACCCTATGATGATCCTGTTTTATATGCATTCTATATTTTATTCTCTTTTTTTTTCGATGGTCGTCTGATGCCTTGTCTCCATTCCCTCCCTTAGAGACGTGTGCGAGGAGATGAAGACTTCTATAGAGGCTGGGATGATTACAAGAGAGGGTTTGGAACCCCAGACACCGACTTCTGGATGGGAAATGACATCATTCATGACCTCACCTCACAGGTAACTCCAGCTCCCATAATCCTGTTTTTTTCGTTGCAATTTTTAAAACTAAACTGAGCTGCCAGTGACAGTTGACCCGGTCATGAAAGTTTGAAGACACCAGGTGTTTAGATATTGCAGTTCTACTGTACACAGGTACAGGGCAATTAGATTCAAATTGAAAAATTATTGGTCGAACAAAAACAAAAACTCATACAAAGGATATGCGCTTGCGATAGATCCCGTGAATTGTTTTAGCTCTTTAATACATCTATTGATATATTGTGTGTTGGCTCCATTGCAGCTTAAGGGGTAGTGAAATTGTTATAAAATTCGGTGGTCGACAATTACCAGGAGTTTTTGTGACTTCCCTGTCCAGTGTGCTTCTGTAATTCCTAAAATATGTACCTTGTGAAGATGAATCTCACGAAAAACTTTTCCCCTTTTACCAACATGGTACAGTGCCCTAACATTCCAACATCCAACACTAAAGGTGTTGTGAGGAGAAAGAAGGTTCACAGTCGGGTATTTGAGTTTCTTTCGGTTTTGATCTCGAACTTTCTTTTGTTAGTTGTCTGGCTCGTTACTTGATGCTGTTTCCGCAGGAAGGTTTTTTTTTTTTTTTTTGCGGTATTGTGTTGTCAGCCCCTTGCCACTACCCAATCTGGAGGACTAAGACACCATTCGTCTGTAGTCTTGTCTATCAATGGTTGAACATTCCAGGGGTAGAAGTCTATCACCTGCATAGTTTTGAAAATCATCAGAGCACACGACAATGCTCAAGCACCATGGGGTGGACATAAATATAATTCAATAAAACCTCGTCACATTGAAACAAGAACACGAAAGAAAACTAACCACCTGTGAGATGAGATGTTTGAGAACGGCTGTGAATAAAACCAGAAGAGAACAAGTGAGAAACGATGTGATCACAAGAACTGTCGGAACAACATTTATGGGCAAATTTTTTGAGAAGCAAAGAATGAAATGGTTTGACCATCTAATGAGAATAAAACCCACGATGCCAGGAGCAGGAGCATACAACCCGAAAATCGAAACATCAAGAAGCAGGGGAAGACCGAGAAGAATATGGATTGAAGGAGTCACTGACACATTACGACTGCATAACATCACGGTATATCAAGCGACTGAGCGTGCCCTTGCTCGGCTGCCGATCGTCTGATGAACTGCGACGCATAATGGCATAAGCAGATATTGACAAAAGAAAGAAAACCTCGTCAACAGAATTTCCAATGAACCATAAAAACAAGGATTCCTGCTATATCGGGAAGTACTACTTGTAATAATGCACGTACATCCCTGCTGGGACCAACATTATTTTTTTATTAACCAAGTGTTAATCTTTAGCGAGTTTGTGTTCATGAGTTTTAACTCTAATATATCTCAATCAATATGAAATGTATACATGCACAATTTAAATGATAAAGTCTACATATGACTGGGATCGAGGATACTTGGCTCCTTAAATATTTAGGTTTATTTATTTTTTAAGGGGGAGGGGGCCTCTCAAAGTTCCTAAGCCCCAAGGTTCCAGTGCCACTGCTCAACAGCCGTATCTGATATGGGACTGCATTACCTTTCCCCCGCTCTAGGCTGTGTCGACTTCGTGCATGAACTAATGAAACTAATTCCCCGTTATTTACCATGTATCCTGTGATAATTTCAGGGCTACAACGAACTCCGTATAGACTTTGTCCATAATGAGACCAAGTACTTTGCTCAGTACACCAACTTCACTGTGGCCGATGAGTCATCTGGATACCTAATCACGATTGGTGGATTTTCCGGGAATGTCTTCGACAGCATGGACAATCAAAATGGCTATAAATTTAGCACTTTTGACAGGGATAATGACATCAAAATCACAAACTGCGCCGTGGAGTATCAAGGGGCTTGGTGGTACAAAGCTTGTTACCACTCTAATTTGAACGGTGTCTGGGCAGACACAGACTTGACGGGTATTTCTTGGTTTGATAATAAAACAGATTACAGGACCAATCTGTCGTTTACAGAAATGAAGATCAGGTATATTTAGAGGAGAAAAGGCACTCTAAGGAGCACTACTAACAGTCTGTGTCTAATTTTGACTGAACATTTTCGTACTGCTCGGTATGTATATTTTGCGCCATGTATATTCGACTTCACTTAGAACGTTTCAGACTATCTGGGCAGATACCATCACTCCCAGCTGTTGCGCTTTAATAACCACCATTTTGCCTGCTTCTAAAAATAAATCTAGACTTGCCTGAAGCTCCTTCTCAGTCTCATGTAAATCAGCTGGTAGAGGTAGGTCTGAACAGTTTAGAAACCTTTGACTTTCAGTTTGTATTTCTGCTACTATAGTCATCTTTATATTATTTGACTTTAGATGCACATTTTGGAGTAACACATTTCCTTTCAGTTTCTTGGCTAACTAATCTAAACACTGTTTTGATGTCCTGCTTATTCGCTGCTTCCTCTGCTTCTGTTACTAGATTTTCTTTTTAAGAACACTTATCTGTATGTTACCATGCAATATTTATTCGGGCATATGCTGTAGTAAGTCTTTATTTCAGTGTAGGAATATGCCGTTGTCCCTTTGTCTTCTAATTTCTTTCCCTTATGCAATTTATTTTCCACGCATTGTTTCGGAAATTCACTCCGTTCCGTGACCGCCTGTATCGTTTGTATGATAGAGTAGGTGATTGACTCAGTTTTCTACGTTAGAATGCGATCACATTTGAAAAAAAAAAAAAAGAATTGGACCTGTCCGTATCAACTAGCTATGCCCCGCTCGCTAGTGCAGTTGGTTAAAACCCTGTGCGCGGCGACTGGGTGACGAACTCCTTGTGGTCCGGGTTCACACCAGGTTGTAAGCAGAAAAGCAACATTTCTCCCAGATTAACAGTATCTTTCATAGAATCAAGACCGAAGGGTTGCAATTTCCATAGAACCGAGCCAAAAAGTTTACAACTCATGGTTTCTGGGTACTTTTTTTTTTAAAAATCAACTAGCTACGGAGATGCTAACGAAGCCATGTGAAACAAAGTGTAAGCACATCAATAATTGCCTTGCCAGAAAGCAGATATGAAACGAGCAAACGAAGTAATTACTAATTGTCTACAGCGAAAATAAAATTCCTCCAGTGAGTATCTGAGTTAATTGTGTGCCTGTCTGACTGATTAAGGATTGTAGCCAGCTAGGAGTAAACGGCCTTGAGCGAAATTAAATAATTACGAGGTAATAGATTCAATTTGTGTCCAGACAAAGGGAAACATCCCTTACAGACAAATTGTCTCCCGACGTGTTTGACACGTTTGGTAATTTGATTGTTGCCTATTCTTTAGTTGATTGCAAATAAACGGTTAAAACAGCGAGCAGAACGAACAGTCAAAGAAGCCAACGGCGCCTTCTCCATGACAACCAGCAGCATGACGATGGAGGTGATGGCAGTGACGCAAGCGTTTGCCTGGCTTGAAACACAAAAATACACTCTCGTATGTATAGTCAGTGATTCAATGAGTATGATCCGGAGGGTTCAGGAAGGTTTAGTGCGAAGACAATGGCTTGAATCATTACAGAAGTCCACTGCGCGTGGAGTCACCTTTATTTTTGTTCCAGGACACGCAGGCGTCGATGGGAATGAAAGAGCTGACAGGTTGGCTGGATCCGCTATCACTACCGACGGTCAGCCTATGAATCATGCTGATATTCTCAATGCCCTCAGAGAAATGGGAAGAATAGAGGACTTTGATGGCAGTGAATCCACATCCTGCCAGAATGGCAGACTTGGGAATTAAGATCGGCACAGCAAAAAACGAGACGCACACCAGACACGCCAGAAGACTTGTTAATCAACATAGAACTGGTACTATTAGCCATCACACGCTGGGGATTATACTGAGGGTAGGATCTGAGCACCTATGGACATGTCCGGAGTGCAATGATGATAACCCAACTAACTAACTAACTAACTAACTAACTAACTAACTAACTAACTAACTAACTAAGTGTCAGATTGTCCAGACAGACATCAATTATAGGATCTCAATTGACTCTGGAATTCAAGTCGAAAACGTACGATTTTTGGGAAGGACAGCTGCGTTTACATGGATACACTACAAAGCAACGGGGAAGCCTATTTAACAACTTGCAACCAATGCAGAGGAACAGTTGGCAAGACATCTGTTCTAGTGTAGTTTTGGGCACTGTAAGCGGCTAGTCGTGGCTCGACGGTAGACATGACAATGAATGATGTAATTCAAGTTAGCTGAACGGCATATGGCGTTATGGTTGCCAAGCGGAGGAATGAACTATGGAAGGACAGCTAGCTAAAAACAACGCAGACCAAACGTCATTAACGCCATAAAGCCATGATTGAGGAGGGTTGCATGAGGAAGAGACACTCACGATTTTACATAGATTGTATTACAGGTTTAGCGGGGAAGGAGCCTATTTTATTATATTGAGTGTTATTGCATATTGGTAGTGTACACTACGGTAAAGTAAAAGTATGCGGCTGACGCAAACATGAGAGTGCCGATTTCTACATTATTTAAATTGTACGTGTTATTGTCAACGTTTTATTATTCAAAGAAGCACACTACGTAAGTTGTATCCACATAATTTCATAATAGATGAATAAAAGACAATTTTACTAAAACGATCACTTCAGATGCCTTTAAGATCGACTTGACGTTGAGAGAGAGAGAGAGAGAGAGAGAGAGAGAGAGAGAGAGAGAGAGAGAGAGAGAGAGAGAGAGAGAGTTGACACCTAAGAGGTAATACTGTTAAGTGGGCAGAACATAATATAGGGTACTCATGGCAAAATAGGCATGATCGGATGGACCTGCAATCATTCTGGCAGACATTGCCACAATCCTTATATCTCCTCCCCTGCTGAGTATACTGCTTCAAAAACATGTATCAAACACAATTCTTGACTCTTCTTGTAAAATGTTGAATCTGGTATGGAGTTCTATCCTAAATTGCTTTCTGATTGAGCATCCTGCTTTTTTACTAAATCATACTGTTGCTGCTTTCCATCTCATAGTTTACCTTTCCTTAATGGTAACTTGAGTTGTCCCTGTGGTCACTTCATATACTACTCGATCTACGAACTTTTATATCTTGCAGTTAATTTATCCATGTTCAGTTTATGATAAAATTGTAGGTCTGGATTTCTGTCTGTCAATCACAAGATCTCCATGTGATGCCAGGCATTTTTCTTATGAAGAAAGAGCGTTCCTCCAGTTATAAATCATCTGATTTGCAAAAATCGCATAACCTCTTCGTGTTGTTGGTCATTTTTAATGTCATTTGCTTTCCTATTTTTTTAATTTCCTTCCTGTGTTGTCCTTTCCTAATAGTGCAATAAAGTCTCCATGGTTCCTAAACACATCATGTTTTGAATTGCCTTCTATTCCTGCTGGCAAACGTTCTTAGAAGGTGTCTTTTGTCTCCTCGTCTGTATCTTTTGTTGGTGCATGGTAAACTAAGACACACATTTGTGCTAGTCTTGAATCCTGCTAACTAATCTTTTACCTACTGGTTTCCATACTAAGAGCGTGTTCTTAAGAACCTAATTAACTGTTAATGCGACTCTTTCAGTATAGTGTTTATCAGCTCAACTTGACCATATAATGCTATCACCTGTAATGGGCTTTCATGTTCCTGCCCCTATCCAGTGTGCTTCTTTAATTCCTAAAATATGTACCTTGTGTAGTTGCAGCTCACAAATAACTTTTCCCCTTTTTACCTATATGGTACAATGCTCCAACATTCCAAAATCCAGCTCTAAAGGTGTTGTGGGGAGAAAGAAGATTCATATTGAGGCTATTTACTTTCTTTCGGCTTTAATCCCCAACTTTCTTTCGGTAATTGTCTGGCCAGTTACCTGATGCTGTTTCCGTAGAAATGTTGTTTCTTTCTTTCGGTATTGTGTTGTCAGTCCCTTCAAAATACCCAACCTGGAGGACTGGGGCACCATTCTTCTTTAGTCTTGTCTATCAATGGTTGAACATCCCAGGGGTAGAAGTCTCCCGCCGGCATAGTTTTGAAAATCATCAGAGCACACGACAATGCTCAAGTATCATGCGGTGGACATAAATATACTTGAATAAAACCTCGTCACATTGAAACAAGAACACAAAAGGAAACTAACCAACTGTGAGATGAGATGTTTGAGAATGGCTGTAAATAAAACCAGAAAAGGTCAAGTGAGGAACAACGTGAGCACAACAACTGTTGGAACAACATCCATCGTTAAATTTATTGCGAAACGAAGAATGAAATGGTTTGGTCATATAATAAGAATGAAACCAACGATGCCAGCAGCAAGAGCGTACAACCTGAAAATCAAAACATCAAGAGGCAGGAGAAGAGCGAGAAGAAATGGATTGAAGGAGTCACTGACACATTGAGACTGTATATCATCATGGCATATCAAGCGACTGAGCGTGTCCTGGCTCGGCTGTCATCGTCTGATGAACTGCGACGCCTAGCGGCATAAGCAGGTATTGACACACACACAAAAAGAAAACCTCGTCAACAGGATTTCCAATGGACCGTAAAATCAAGAATTCATGGTAATAGGCGACTAATATGAGTAAAAATACATGTAGATCGCTGCTGAGAACAAAACTGTGTTTATCTTAACCAAGTGTTAAACTTTAGCAAGTTTGTGTTAATGATTTTTTCACTGTAATATATCTCAGACATTATTATATGTATACACACAACTTAAGAGATAAAATCTACATATGATTGGGGTAAGGGACACTAAGCTCCGGAAACATTTAGTTTATAATTGGGGAGAAGGCTCTTAAAGTCTCGAATCCTCAATGTTTAACCGCCACAGCTGAAAGACCCCTGAGTGCATTACCTTAAATCCGTTTTAGGCTGGTACCACTTGGTGTAGGAACCAGTGAAACTAATTTCCCGTAATTGTCTATATATTCTGTGATATTTTCAGGGCTACAACGAACTCCGTATAGACTTCGTCCACAATGAAACATAATATTTTGCTCAGTACACCAACTTCACTGTGGCCGATGAGTTATCTGGATACCTTATCACGATTGGTGGATTTGCCGGAAATGTCTTCGACAGTATGAACCATCAAAATGGCTACAAATTCAGCACTTTTGACAGGGACAATGACAGAATAGACTCCAGTTGTGCCGTTATGTACCACAGGGCTTGGTGGTACAATGCTTGCTACCAAGCCAATTTGAACGGAAACTGGGCAGATCCAAGCTTGACGGGTATTTCTTGGTATGATAATAAAACAGATTACTGGACCAATCTGTCATTTACAGAGATGAAGATCAGATATATTTAGTGGGAGAAATGACCTAACATGACTACTACTAAACGCCTGTGTCCATTTCCAATGTTTACGGAACATTTTCGTTCTGCTCGGTTTGTAAATTTTTTCAATGTATATGTGATTTCAATCAAATAAAAAAATATGTTATTATACATAGAGTCAAACCTTGTCCCAAATAATTGAAAGTTACGGAAAAATCAAGAGTTCATGTTTAAAAATCGTGCTAAACGGGACCTACTAATAATACATCCGCGCTGGGACCAAAGTATCTTCATATAAACCGAAAGTTTATCATAAGCAAGTACGTGTTAAAGAGGTTTTCTCTTATATAATGTGTGTGTGTGTGTTGTAATGTTGAAGTTGTGTGCAGTAACATTGTCAGCCTTCCTTAATGTTACTTAAGTCACTTTAAAATATCTCGCTGCTGTGGCAAAGGGTCTCTTAACATGCCAGTCAATGGACTGGATTAGAGAAGTCGTCTTAGAGAGCGGAAACATCTGTGTCATGAAATCCAATTCATTCATCCCCTCGTTCATCAAGTCCCAGCCTGGGAAAAAGGGGTTAGCATAAGTATTGAAGAAAATCAAGACAGGACACTGCACATTCGTCAATTTACGACAAAGTGGCGCGGAACACACATCGATCCCCTGGGAAAAAAATCCAAAAGGACGCTGACCACGCGAGACCTCTGAATGATCTTGCCACTCTGCACGGAACATACCTGTCTCAACATGATCTGTGAGTTGCTTACAAATACAACGTTTATGTGTTCAGTCGGTTCTTAAGAAAGCTGAAGGCTGCAATTGCCGCCTCCACCTGACTGCCTTCAGAAATGTCCAATACTATAGGTAATAAAATATTGCGAAACTTGATGGCGCTGGTAATTTATTGTAAATAAACTAAATGTGTAAATTTAATTTTTTTTAATAAGAATATTGTGGATAGAGACTAAGACAATTTTTTTTTTAAATTACCCTATTGCTTGTTGTCGACATTCTAGTACATCGATACCAGTCACTTGTGCTCTGTTCTCCGTGCTCCCTGAATCTTTAAACAAAAATGATTTCCCCTGATTTAACCCACTCTAAGTAAGCGGTATAATGCCGACATTAAAATGGATTAGTTCAGTGTAAGTATAGGAAATATTTTCACCCGTTTAGGTATATAAGGCATATAGGGTAAGCCCTATATTTTATCGACCAGTCGGCACTTAGTGAATGGTGGGTTCAGAATCACAAAGGCCGCCTTTTCACTCTGAAATTTTACCTGATTCCTATTTACGGCTGGGACGAACTGGGAGCCAAAGTCATCTTTGAAAACAAAAAGTCCTGCTTCGCCATTACTCAAACCCACGACATTCCGATCCGCAGACGAACGTCTAGCTGCTAAACTATAGCCGCTCCCTTAGGGCGGTCTGCAGTCTAGATATTACAAATAAATAGGACACCTTAACGGGAATCGGTTGTGTCTGCAAATTATAATCGTAATTACCCGAAAAAAATTAGGACTACGCAAAAACTCTATGCTATGCGTGCAAGGGCGCCGGAATCTAGGAGTTCGTGCAAATTGGGCAACTCTCCCCCCCCCCCACCTCCCCAAAAAAACACACAGGAAGTGTTGGTTACCTCCCTCTCCTAATACCATCTTCCCCCCCCCACCCCCGCTCCCCACCACCACTAAATCCGTAGAATATTTTATGGCTAATCGATAATTCTTATCTCCCCTCCCCCTCACAGTTTTAACCCCAACTTTATGTTTCATTATCTTTAGAGTATTTGTTTTTAAATTTCATGGTATTTAAATTCAGGACAAAATAGTAATGAAAAAAAATAATATTATTACTGACTTGAACAAGGCTTGATCCATTGACCGCCTCTCCCACTACCCAGCGAGAGCCTTCTTCGTCTGTTTTCTTTATGTCGGTGCCCTTGTATACATGCATAGTTCGGAAGATCACAACTAAAGTTTAAGGGCACCTTTTGTTTTTAACTGACTTCTTTGCCTACACGTTATTTCCTAATGGAGCATAGGATCTCACCACAGTCGCAACAAGTCGTCGTAGTCCAGCTCAGTGCTCCGGTCTTTAAAATTTTAAAGAACACATGGGGAGGGTGGTAAGAATCTGAGTCCTATTTAAAGAGTATAATAATAACAATGCTGTGCTAGGTATAAAAAAATACAATATTTTTGAACTTATACGAAATGAACAAATACATATCGTTTAAGAGAACCTTTATAATTGGATACTGAGGCCCGCTAAGCCTCTTACAAAATTGGGGCGAGGGGCCTGATCCTTCAGGTTCTGGCGCCTGTGGGTCTATCCTTTTTCAACATATGCGCCTCTCTGTTTCAGCTCGTTTCTTAACTCTTTCTCCGTATTTTGCTATCAGCTATTATCAGTGTGTGTCCTAACCAACGCCAGCGTCTTGGCCTCACTTCTTGTTTCCCTTGCGTTTATCTTTTTAAAACACCAACGACATAGCCAAAAAGATCTATGAGCAATTCCACAGGTCCACTGTCAATCGATTCTCCGACTAGCGCTGTGTGAAGCAGGTTGGAAACAAATGTGATCCTGCAAGCTGTTTAAAAGTCGATGCTGGAAATAGTTCCGTGACATACAAGTTTAGAACCATTGGCTTAAGAACGCGTGCACTGACAGTTCCTGGTCACAAAGGCCCTTGAGATAAGCATTTCAGATTAGGCGCAAGTGAAATGAATGATGAAAAGACACGACAAAAGCCTGACATAACGTTTTGGAGGGTCAGTAATTTAAACTCTTGCCTGCCAGCCCAAAGATCTTTCATTCTAACCCTTACCGCCTCACTTCTTAACTGCGGATTCCATCTCTGTAAGGGGAGCTAGTTGCTATTGAGCAGCACTCTGATTACCTCTTGGTTGTCAACTATCCAAACTCATTTCTCTATTACGGATCTCTTAAATAAAGGTCAGGTGCTATCGACCTTAAACAGTCCGATTTCTATCTTGCTCGTAAACGTATCTCTCATTTAAAAAAAACAAGTTGGAGTTCAGTGGTCTCGAGTTATGGTGTCTGCCTCGACTGCTAGAGGTCCTCGGTTCAGGCCGCAGTGATGGATGGCATTTTTTCACGTGGACTTCTAGTAATTTCCCCTTGTCTCTGGGTAGTGAGATCGGACGCCCGTGTGCATTGTTGCGCACGTAAAAAATCCCTTGGCAGTTGGAAATCGAAAAGAGCTTAACGGCGCTGCCCAGGCAAAATTTGGAGTTTAAAATTTACCTAAAGTATTTCAGGATCCTCGCCGGCGCAACGGAATTCGTGCACTGCGCTGTGATTCTTCAATTAAGTTAAAAGTAGAACGGATTACTTATGGGTTACACTCGTGTGCTATGATGTTGATCCGTCGAAAAAAACAGAAACATACATACATTTTTCAATGTCGTGATGCTCCCATCCCAACTGTATCGCTGTCTACCTCTAGTTCGCCTTAATTCAGCTTCTCCGCAGTAAATTACAACACAGTGTGCTAGATGCCGTTTTAAACATAACTGACACCATGACGTCACAAGAATTCCGTCGCAAGTATTTTAAGTCAGAAAAACATAATCTCGAGATTGGATCACACTTCTTTTGTAGCCCGCCCTCATTAACCCCTCGCTGGCATTTACTTCCTCTGCCTGAACCACACCTAACGTCCTCCCCATCGTTTTCGCCTCATCCGTGAAATTTTTTTTCTATGTTTCCTTGTCTATACTGTTACTGTAATCCTATGGATTCCAGTATATGGACATTCTAGTTATTTCGCCCTTAGGTTTTCTTAGTGTATAAATCATCGCATCCTCATCTCTTTTTTTAACTGGTGTCTGGGTCTCTTCTAGCAAAAAAGTCATCTTTTTTCCGCAATTTTGAAAAGGCTGTACAAGATGGTAGCTGCAAGAACAATGTGGTTAATGATTGAGTTTCCTCTCCTTTCTGACGCCTGTCTTAGCTGACCTTACATCACAGCGTTACGATGCGCAACAGAGGTTACAGCTAGGCTCGTAATCCCTGTTCTGCTTTTTAGCGTCGTTTTATAGAGGCATCAAGTGCCAGCTTCGGTGTGTGTTAAGTGCATGATTTAAGTACTCCATTCATCAAAATGACTTTAATAGAGAACAACAAACAGATGTACTCTTGCAGGCCTTTTGTCAGTCTTCTTCTTCTTCTTTTCTCCACTCCTGAAATGCCTCACGGTGTCATGACAGGAAGAGATATCTGGCACAATCCTTTCTGTTTACCTCGTATAAAGTACTTTTCAGTTTCTCTGATATTTCTGCTGTCCATATTCTGCGTGGTCGACCTCTGGATCTGTTACTGTTGTGGAGTGAAAACAAGAAACTGAAAGGGACGATAAAGACGCCCCATCCCGCCAAAGTTGCAGCACCTCTGGCCAACTGATCAGCGTTTCTGTAGGCATTACAGAAAATGTACAATTGCAGGGAAAGATAACCACATGACATAACTGTTCTTGCTGACCTCAGTATGCCTGATTAATGACAGATGTTTCAATTCCGAGACCAGGGTTTCATAAATTACATATTTAGACTGGGAGAATGAAGCCATAACACTTATGCAAGGAGTGCCACTAACATTTCTGCTTTGTTTGTCGGCTGCATAGAAACGATGATGTTGCAGGCAGTTTGTTTGTGTGTCCCTCTAGTTCTGGTTGTTGTTCAATGTCAAGGTAAGTGAACCAGTTTGTTCAATCAAGAAAAAGTTGAATGGTACATGGGGAGGTTTGGACTACATCACAGCTTTCATCAAGGCTACTAGCCTTCATGAAAGAAGTGTTTCTGACTGAGGGACCGACGAAGAAGAAGACTCAGAAGGGTATCGGCAGGCTCCTAGTAAAGTAAAACACCACATTCATGAAATCATCTGGTCAGATTCACGAAAACCAGCAGACGAAGACCTTTATGGTCATTTTGTTCTTCTCCTCCTATTTTGCTTTTTCTTCTTCTTCTTCTACTTGGAGTTCACATGCTGTAAATTCCAGCGGAAAGTTCTAGATTTTCGCTTCCATCTGGACTTAGTCTTGTTCCAAAACTGGAGATTTGCGTGCACATCACTTTTCCGTTCTCATTTTCTCGCCGCTCAAGCAGATACACTACGATTACGAAGGAAACGCCCATAATTAGTGCCTTTTGTAATATCTTTATTTGTTTATAAAAAGGTAGGGGGTGTAGGGAAGGCTGGTGTCAGTGGGTGTTTTCTTACTACCCCACAATGGAAATCCCCGAACCCAAACGACGATGCATGGTAATATCACAGCAAAAATAAAGTATATCCGTAAATTTATTAGCACCCAAACAAAAAATCACACTTAAAAATAAATTAGTACTTATACTAAACACCTTTTATTTATAATCCTATAATCTTATAATCCAATATACTTAATGTTTAGAATCTAGAAAATAGTATGCAATATTAAACAGTCTCAACAACAACAACAAAAAAGTTAGGCTGGATAATACGGAGCCAGGAGAATCAGGAGTCGGGTAATCAATGGTCTACTATATTATTTTTGAGGCACTCATGGCAGTGCAGGAGGATATGACACCTGACGAATTGGCAGATGAAGCAAGAAACATCATCATCACAATAGCTCAGAACATGATTCCTAAAATGAAATTTAAAAAACACAAGAAACAGATTTACATTACAGAAAAAACTTTGAAGCTGATAGACGAAAGAAGAAATTTAAAGCAAATTGGGACAGAAACAAATAGCCATGCATATAGTAAGTACACGAAAGAAATCAGAAGAGCTATCAGAGGAGATTTAAAAAAAAAATTAGTAGTAATTCAAAAACAACTTATGAAAGTTATGAAAAAGAACCAGAGTCTTTACTGGATGAGGTACTATCAGCAATATAAAGCCTGAAGAAAGGAAAGTCACCAGGTTGCGACGAAAAACCAACAGAACTAATTCAAGCACGAGGAGAGGCCAGCGTCCAAATCTACCATGCACTGTGCTCGAAGATCTGAAACAGTGGCATTTGGCCTAAAGCGTGGAAAAGAACAGTCTATATCCCTCTCCCAAAAGAAAGGAAATCTGAAACTATGCTCCAACAACCGTACCATCGCATTAAAAATAATGCTAACAAAATCCTCTTACGAATGAATTATCATGAAGAGGATTGAAAGGAAATAACAATATGAGCTATATGAAGCACAAGCAGGTTTCAGACAGGGTAGAGGAACTTGGGATCACATCTTTAATATGAGAATCATTTTTGGAAAATGTAGAGAATACAATGTAGATCTTCATGCTTGTTTCATTGATTATAGCAAGACATTTTATAGTGTCCAACATCAGAAAATGTTTATCATGAACAACAGGCAGCCAACTGAGCAGCTGGTGAACATCGGAGTGGTTCGAGGTGCAAAAGGGGTGAGGCAGGGGTGCATTCTCTCACTATACCTATTCAATATATAATATAATAAGAAATGTCAAAAATGACTAGACTTGTGACAGTTCTAAAATTGGTCGCAACCCTTTTCCGGAACTTTGCACCTCCTTTCGAACAGCTTAAAGGGAATATAAAATTTAATATTGCCTGTCCAAAAGCTCATTGAAGATCAAAATCTGTTCTTGAATTTGAGAAAACAAAAATAATGTCGACAGATAAAACTGGCTGTCACCCAAAAATAACAATAAATAGTGACGAAATTGAAAATGTCACAAACTATAATAAATAGCAATGGAGACTGACAGAAATTAAAAGGAGGATTACCATAGCAATGCAAAGATCAAACAACCTAAAAAAGTATATGGTTAAGCACCAGCAAGGAGATCAAAATTAGAATTTTGAGAGCATGCGTCATCCCTGTAGCAACATACGGATGTAAGCCATGACATTAAGATAGTGAACAGGGGCTTTTAAGCTTAAATTCTATAGAAAGATTCTCAAAATATCTCAGACATAGACGAGGAGAAATACTGACATCTTGAAAGATCTGAACATCAAGGAAGATTGGCTAATAAACAGCATCCTGTCTCCGAAGCTGAAATATTTTGGTCATATCAAGCGCCACGACGGATATGGGAAAAAAATACAGCAGAAGGTTTGATGCCAGAAAGGAAGGAGAGGAGCCGACCAACACGAATATAGGCAGAGGCTATAAGCGACTCCTTGAATATGAAAGTACATGACGCGGCAGAGTTGGCGAGAGACCGAGTTTCTTTCAGGCAGACTGTGATGAGAGCGACGTTGTGCAAGAAACCTGCTACATGATGATGATAACTACATTATTACTAAAACAAAAACAGCTTCTGCTACTACTATCACTGCTGTTGCTACCAGTTACTTCAACCACCGTCACTATTACTACAACATCGACTTCTTCTATTCTGCTACTAAAACTTTTTCTACTACTATTTTCATTAACATTACGACTAATACTCCTACTGCTACTACTGTTACTACTACTACTTCGTCAGTATTACTACACTTATATGCATACATGGGTGTGTAGTCAGCGGCAAAAGAATGGGGGTGAGATTTTATTGCAAAGGTGAATGGGCACTATTTGAAAATAGAGGGCATGGCTTTTAATGAATGGAGATGGAGGCAGTCACGGTAGTTTCCCGATGGCTTGAGAACACCATAGCCTGTGGTAATTGTAGCAGACTTGCGTAGCTTGCTTCGGGAAACTAAAAGTGGCATCCTACGCGTAGAGCTATGTGCATTGCTTGATAAGACTCAAATTAGGACCACTCATACATTTTTTTTGTCTGGGTCATTCCAGTGTGCTGGGTAATGAACAGATTGATATATTGGCTGCTGTCTCTCCTTGGTGGTGAGCTACTGTATGATAAGTTGAGGTAGTGAAGGCCCCCTGAGATCAAGTGGACTGTGCTGCAGAACGAACTGAGTACCCATATACTGACAGACTAATTCAGCGAGAAGGGGAGGAGGTGTGGGGGAGCAAGGGTTCTGGGGATTTTCACCCATACGATGAAAACGGAGGATTTTAATCAGGCTGCACGTATCGGAGTGTCCCAATTGCACGTATGCTAATTCTGGAGTTACTCATTCATTCATTTAATATTACTACTCCGGTGTTTGTTTCGTGTTTTATAGTACCAAATGTTGACCTCATGAATTCAACCCCAAATTCTCGACTTGACGAGGTAGCAAACACGGGACGATATCCATTGTATCTCTGTGCTGCTTAAACGCTAGGCTTGCTTTGAGAAAGGGAAAAAAATTGTCACTTTCATCCAGCATCTCCGAAGGTGGAGTTTTCGTTTAAAATTGTGATTAGATAATGTTAGTTGTATAAAATGGCTTTGCATTGCTCGCCACCAAGTAGGACTCTTGTCGTGTTGATGCGATCAAAGGAGATAGACCCAAATACTGTCTTGACCTGCGACGAAGTAGTCTTCCCGACAGCCAACTCACGACCCGGTCATCGGTGCTGCTTTAATGGATTCTAGGCCACTTGTCAATAGACAATGATGTCTATACATTCGCTTGCATCCATGTCTGTCTGCAATTTCCCTACGTTGATTATATTTTGTACCAATTTAGCATTCGATTGTACTCATACCGATTACTTTAATCCACTCCGCAGTTCTGGACTTCACCAGGCAGCTTACACCAGACGACAACTACTGTGGACATCTCCGATGTCTGGCCAACAGTTCCCAAACCATCATCAACATGGCCATATATGATACCACAGATAAAGGCAACTACGTGAAACTGGCCTCCATCTCCGTGTTTGCCAAGGAAGTATCAGTCGAGCCATCCAAGAACCACGTTATCAATGTTACAGGGAACATCTCAAACTATGACGGGGTCTTGAATGTCATGTTCTTGAGAGATGTAGATTGCTTGTACGGGGCGTTTCAGTGTGAACTAGATTTCGTTCACATCAACGGCCAACCGGATGTGATCAGAGAAAATTTGGCACCAGTCACCGAAGAAAACGGTAATTAGAGATTAGGAGCATAAAATTAATGCAGAGCACACAAAATAGTCCAATGCAGAAATTCTGGAAACATTTTGTTTAGGACACAAAAAACAGTCTAATGCAGAGAAGTTCTGGAAACACTTTGTTTGGGACACACAAAAAAGACCAAAGCAGAGGTCCTGGAAACACTTTGTTCACGACACAAAAACAGTCCAATGCAGAGTTCCCCAAAAGACTACGAATGGAAAGATAATTCTGAAAAAAAAAATATTCAAATACTTTTACCACATTAAAAGAGAGAGGTGGTAGTAGTAGTAGCACAGAGGTGTACAACCCTGACAAGATACAGAGCGTGTTGGTGATCCATTGCAGCCAACCTTCACAGGGGAGACGGCACCTTGACTGGGAGTTTAAAGAGTTAACCTGGCGCCTCCACCTCCACCCCCCCCCCCCCCCTCCAACCAAATTTGTAAGAATTATAAGCTCTGTTGCCTCCCTTCCCTCCATCAACAAGGCAATTTTATGTCCGGTTGACCTTTTGAAATATCTTTTCATAACTTTACAAAAACACAAGGTGCAGTAGAATATGGGGGAAATGGAACAATTACATTAATGAGTCATTTAAGTAAAATAATAATCAAAATTATTAAAAGAAGAATAAGGTGAAAATCAAACCAGACATTGCAGGAGAGCAGTGTGGTTTTGTTGAAAATAAAGGCAAAAACGACGCCATATTTTCTGGAGAATACTTTCAGAAAGAATGATTGACATGAATAGAGATCTGTATTTGTGCTTTATTGATTACACTAAAGCATTTGATAAAGTGAAACATGACAAAATATTATTATAATTTTACAAACCTTAAACAAGAAGCAGCCACAAAGATTGGCAATCAAGTTTGAACTTTTCAAAACATTGAACAAGACGTTAGACTATCACCAGATTTATTTAATGAGAACGGCGAAAAAATGATTAGATCTATATATGGTATGACAGGAATATCGGTTGGTGGGCATATTGTTACCAACATGCGATATGCTGGTGATGTAGTTTTGATCGGTGAAAATAAAAAACAACTGCGAGAAATGATGGAAATAATTGTAGCGAAAAGTGAAAACAAGGGTCCTAATTTGAACAATAGAAAAACCACAGTATTGGTAATGTGGTAATTACAAAGAAAACTGACCCTTTGAAATGCAGCATCACAGCAAATGGGACAAACCTCAAGCATGTTGATATGTTAAAGTACTTGGAAACCCTGATAACATCAGACGGAATACTGTATTACAGAAAATTAACTGTCGAATTACTCAAACAAAGGCAGCAATTTTTACAATGAGGAATTTTTCATGCAATCTTTCTATGTCAACTGAGACGAGAAAATGAATTCTCAAAAGCAATATAAATCCTATCTTGACATGTAGAAGTGAATTGTGGACAGTTGGTAAATTAGAAGAAACCTTTTTGGAAGGTGCGGAGATGTGGTTTTAAAGACGAACGATGCGAATACACTGGATAAATTTAAAAAACAAACAAAAACAAAGGAAAGAAAGAAAGAAAGAAACTGATTGCCAACATCAGAAAAAGATAATATAAATTGTGTGGTCATGTCAAAAGAACGAGAAAACTGGAGTACAGCGTGACAGTAGGAAAGATGGAGGGGAGGAGAAGCAGAGGGAGGCCGAGAGAATAGATGCTGGACAGTTTTACATCATAGCATAGAGGATCATCTGTGTCAGTGTTGACTGGAAGTACACGAGACAGAAGGTTGTGGATAGACCAGCGTCACACCGCATAGACTTCAAAAAGAACAAATTTGCCATTGCTTTCCTAATGGTTGATTAGCATAGTTGATACCATCATCTAAATCAACTTATCGCGGCCTGCTGTCAAATGTTTGATTTTTCGAATCACATTATTTCAATGTACTATTATTTTCTTTTGCCGTTTAGAATAATATTAATATTTTTTAAACGGTATTTTTATTGTTTTTAATATTATGTATTTAAACAAGATTTGGGCCTCTTCAACGATATTCCCTCCACATCCATTGAATGTTGTGTAGGTGTTTGTGTGTATGTATGTATATATATATATATATATATATATATATATATATATATATATATATATATATATATAAACATATATATACATACACACAAACACGCGGTGTGAGTGTGTGTATGTATGTGTGTGTAAATATAAATCACTATATATATATATATATATATATTATATATTATATATATATATACATACACACATACATACATACATACATACATACATACATACATACATACATACATACATACATACATACATACATACATACATACATACATACATACATACATACATACATACATACATACATACATACATACATACATACATACACACAAACAATGTGTGAATGTGTGGGTGTGAGGGTGAATGTACGTGTAGTGTGTGTGCACGCGTGCGTGCCTGAATGTGTGTGTGTACATGTTGGTGTGCTCCCCTGGTGATGTTCAATTTCGGAGCATAACAGCAAATTATTTCGTGATGTTTTAATTTTTTAATGTTTTTTTTTTTAATTCTACACATCAGCAATGTGGATGCATTGTAGCTGATTTCCTACGAGAAAATAAGACTTATGACCTGTACATTGGTGTCTGCTTTTGTCTATAAGATTACACAGTAATGACCTCTTTGATTGACCCCCAGCATTATTTTACACACGCACACGTACGCGCACGCGCGCACGCACGCACGTACACACACAAAAGTAACGCAGAAGAGGACATGTCTGAATCATTAACGACGTTATTCATTGCAGCCGACATCTTGAGCAGCCTGGCCAAAATTTCGACACAGCTGAAGGATACGAACAAACAGCTGGAGGGGCTGAAGAATGACACTGGGGTTCTGAAGCAAGACAATGAGGTTACAAAGCAAGACATTGAGGTTCTCAAGCAAGACAATGAGGTTCTAAAACAAGACAATGATGGTCTGAAGCAAGACAATGAGGTTCTGAAGGCAATGTTGGCTAGTGTCTTAGTGGAACTGTCCAGTATCAAGGAATTGCTGAACTCTACACGTGACAACGAACAGGTATGCTACTGTCGGCCTGGGTGTGTATGTGTATTTTGGTGTATGTGTTATCCGTGTCAGTGCTTATGAGTGTGTGTCTGCGTTGGTGTGAATATGATTGTATCTGTGTATTTGTAGAGGTAAACAGACGGACAGACAGACATAAAGACAGACAGACGGACCTTTCAGACAGACATACAAACACGTGAACAGAAGAGGGAAACTGGAACATGTTGTGACTACTGGAAAGATCCGGGGAAAGAAATACAGAGGAAGACAGTGTGAGAATGTGTTTGACAGCCTTTTGCACACGAAGGAGTAGCAGTGGTAGTAGGAGTAAGGGTTTAGTAGTGGTGGTGGTGGTAGTATTAGTGGTTTTAGCACTATATATAGTTTATATTCTATATTTTATTAGCGGAAGTTATAGTAGCAATGATATTGTAGAGTGGTAGTAGTAGCAATAATGATACAGGTTTCATGAATATTGTATATGTATTATAATTAGTTTTAGTAATAGTAGTAGAAGGAGCTATTGTAGTAGCAATAAGCATTTATCACTACAACGGCCCTTAACTCCGCAGCCATTAGTCTTCCGCAGTTGCGGATCGCATAATGTGGGGAGGCATCATCGCCCACGTCATTCGACAAGGCACTTGACGATGACATCTTTCTTACTATTACTACCACCACGACCACCAATGCATTGTAGTTTCTACTGCAACTACTAAAACCAACGCTATCACCTCTATCACTCCACAACCACTACTATACAACTAGGACTACTACTTTCACCACTGCCACCACGATCATTTCCACCACAACTACTACTTTGTAATTTCTACTGCAACAACTACCGCCACCAGCACCATCATAATTACCATAACCACTACTTTACCGTTTATACTACAACCACACCAACCACCACAATCACTACGATCACCGCCATCATTATCACACCATCATCACCATTTACCACCACACCATCATCGCTACCACCCCCACTACTATACCATTTCTACTTCTACTACCACTCAAGCAACCACTTTACGTCACTTGCGCTACTTCTACCACCATCACCATCACTAATACTATATCCCTCCCACTACTGCTACTACTACTACCACAACAACCAACGCCACCATCACTACTTTATAATTTCCGCCACTACTGCTACTAACTCCACCACCACCACTACTACATTATTTCCGTCACTGCTACCACAACCACCATCACTACCATGCCCCTCTACTATACAATGACTACATATACTACTGTACTCATTTCTCAAAACCTCTCTTGTCTTTTCAGCATCACGAAAGCTTGTGTTACCGAGGTATGCCTCACAAAAGTACCAGAGAAAAGTTTCTTCTGTCAGGGAACATCCAGGCGCTGTGTGACACTGAGACTGATGATGGAGGTTGGGTAGTCATTCAGGTGGTTTCCCCTGTGATTAGATTTTATTCAAACAGTCAGTATGTTTCTTTTTCGGGAATCCATTTCTGCAACGCATCTTTTTCATCATGAGGCACGGTCAATATGTGTGCACTGGAGGTCCTCACTAGTGCATCATAGCTAGGTTAGTTTTGCAAGAACGCAGCTGTAGTTCAGAAGCATCAGGGAAAGACATAAGACCAAACGAAAAGTATATCAGCAAGCTTCACAATATAACAAACACAGACAAAACGTGAACGTTGCGGCTGTGGAGCCCTCTTCAGCACATACAAAGATTAGACAATACAACACAAATACACAGTATTACTTTCCTTCGTGGCAGCCAGGTGGATGTCAAGACAATAGTCTGCCGAGGCATGTGATGCCGGAAAAATAATATCTGGCGATATGTTAGGGGCCATCACTCGAGGATAATAAATATCCATGGATATGCCAGGGAACATCACTTCAGAGTTCAGAAGCAATCAAGCAGTCAGGTGGTTTTGTCAAATCTAATTGTGGTTGTTGGATTTGCTATAAATTATATTGTGCTGCAGAAAGAAAAATCTTAAGCTAAAAGTAGTCACGGTTTGTCTACTGGGATCAAGATACAACCCCTGGACAGCTGCTTGTTTACTACAGAGTGTACCTGACATAATCAAGATTGACCCGAGGTCACTGACACCTGAGTTGTGCATTCCGCAGGCCCTTGAATGTTTCCGATGCCAGAAGGCCTGGCATTCACGAATATCGTGCTAGAGTAAACAAGAGATCTGTCGCTGCTGATCGGAGTCCTACCCATTCGACGTAAGCCCACTGATCAAGAATGACAGCGACTTCTCTTAGGTTAAGGTCAAAAGACAGTTTGCCAACTGTTTCGCTCACACGGAGCCAGATACATGAGCTGCACGTATTTCCAGCAATGCAGAGAAATCACAAACTGTCGTAAGGAAAAATATCCCGTACCAATAACACGTAGGAGACACGATGCATTCAGGAGCGTTATGACATTAGGTTACTTCTGGACTAGATTTTCCAACTGAAGAGAGAGATACAACAACTCTGAGAAATAAAAGCAGCTAGCGACTCAAAAAGAGCACAGGAACATGAAATGATTAGTGAGATGAGAAGAGATATGAAAGCATCCTTGGACAAACAAAAATGGACGACAGATGTGGCAGCGGAGATGGAGCAGTTCAAGACAGACCACATGGAACATTTTTAACATCAAGAAAAGAAAGCGACGCTCCAAAATACACAAATGCACAAAGCATGCAAAATAGGAAGCAAACAGCATCGAGGTAGAAATCCTGGACAATACAAAAAAGCCTTATGCTTCGGCAAGTTAGGTAGCCCAATAAATTCTCGCGATGCCAAGGACACTCGACGACCTAATCAGCGAGCCTAAATCAGATACGCAGACGAATTTGAAAAGCATGCAATGAAAACCTAGCCGCACCAGAACAGACACAATAGCACTCCAGCCAGCTCACTGGAACACAGGAGACGTTGCCTTTGCATTACAGGATTGATACAGTTGGCGGACAGACAGGAGAAATAACAGCACGATTTGGCACGATGGTCCTGTTCACGTTTCCTGGCCCATCTACACACTACTTGACCTTTCATTCATACTTTCTCAGATTCTTCTACGTTGGAGGAGTGTCACGTTGTTTTCCCTCCAATTACATTAGCGCTAATGTCACGTATTATATACTACACGACGACACAGCTTTCAACGACCCAAGATCATAAAAAACTTACCCTAAGCCCTCTAGGTTACACGAGAGACGTTTTTCGAAGAAAGTGGTAAAACGTGACACTCCTCTTACCTAGATCAGACTGAGAATGTGTGTCAACAGGTCGGGAAACGTGAACAGGTCCAGCACCACAATTATAATCTAAGTCCCCAGAAAGCGGTCGGTTTCCTGGGTGACAACTGAACTTTTTATGAATTACGCTGAAGAAATTATTCTGTTGTGTGAACAGTGTTTTTTGTATAAACAATGTGGCTAAACAAAATATACTGTTTAGGGAGTTTATGTTATGTAAAATATAACATATGAACTATGTTATACACAATATTATTCACATGAATTATTTTTTGTGAACTAACTAGAACGAACCACACATTTCTACATTTCTGTTTGAGCTGGAACCTTATGAATGATCTATATATGCATGTAAAAATCTGTCACTCTTTGATGACCGTCTGATGCCTTGTCTCCATTCCCGCCCTCAGAGACGTGTGCGAGGAGATGTAGACTTCTATAGAGGCTGGGATGATTACAAGAGAGGGTTTGGAACCCCAGACACCGACTTCTGGATTGGAAATGACATTATTCACGACCTCACCTCACAGGTAACTGCAACTTTCATTACTTCATGTTTTTCATTGCATTTAAAAATTAATTGGCCCCTCCCTTGATATTATCAAGGTACCCCAGTACTTATCAACTGGCTTGAGGTTTGTTACATTTACTTTCAAGTTGCATTTTGGAAAGTCAGTTTTCTTTGTAATTACCATTTCTTCTGTTTTTTTTTTTTTTTTTTTTTTTTTGTTGTTTTTTTTTTTTGTTCAGACTAAGACCCTTGTTTTCATTTTCCGTTACAATTATATCCATCACTTATTGAAGTTGTTGTCATTTTCAGCGATCAAAACTACATCGTCAGCATATCGCAGGTTGATTACAATATTCCCACCAACCGCTATTCCTGACATACCATGTATGGATCTAATTATTTTTTCACTGTACAAATTAAATACATCGGCTGATAGTACACATCCCTGAATAACGCCTTGTATCTGGAGATACTACACATCCCTGTCCTACGCCTTGTTTAATTTGTTGAAAAGTTCCATCTTGGTTGTCAATCCTTGTGACTGCTTTTTGGCGCCAGTATATGTTTCCAATGTTGCTCCGTCTAGGTTTTATCTGGGCTCATCAAAACTCTGTTCTTTCTTTCCTTGTAAAAAGTTAATATGAACCCTTCAGATGACAAAAACTCCCATCGGCAGTTATTGATTTTATCATCTGATCCAACAACTGTACTGTCCGGTCACCGTTCTGTGTTCTCGTCAATAATTCAAGAGCCCAATTACAAATGCTTCAGAAACATCACAACTCGAATTTAGATGCAATAACCTTTCAGACTATACATCTTTTTCATGCCGACCGCTTGCACTTGCAGTTCCACACAGCCGAATCTGGTAGAATTTTGCAGTCGTTTGACATTCGCTCACATCGACACCGTCATGTCTTTCAGCGTCCCAATCACCTAAACGTAGTCAGGCGATCTGCATTCTTTACAGTCGTTCCTCTGCACTCGACCGCTCACATACGTGTCCAAACATCAACCGATTCTCTGTCCTTTCTCGCATTCAAACATTCGTTCCAATCTCATGCTTTTCGCTTGCCACAGCTTTTTACAACACGAAATACACTAAACACATCATTTACCTGCGTCCCTAATTTCCTATGGTCTTCTGACCTTCTTCGTCATCCGTGACGTTATCAGGGTTTCCCTGTGTTTTCCATCATTACATATTTTTGTTTTTTTATTCTCACATCTTTACCATCAATGTTTAAAGTTTACAAAAGTCTAATATTTTCTATATGTTTTACTTTGTCAAATATATTAGTGTAATCAATAAAGCACAAAGGACTACTTTACCTATCACCAATTTTAGACTAGTTCGGCTAGATACACGAGCCGTGAAAAGACATTTCACAATAATTTATAGATTCTGTGATATTTTCAGGGCTACAACGAACTCCGTATTGACTTTATTCATAATGAGACGGAATATTTTGCTCAGTACACGAACTTTACTCTCGCGGATGAGTCATCTAAATACCTCATCACGATTGGTGGATATTCCGGAAACGTCTTTGACAGCATGAGCTATCATAATGGCTACAATTTCAGCACATTTGATCGGGATAATGACCCAAACACAGAAAACTGCGCCGAGCTGGTCCACGGGGCTTGGTGGTACCATGGATGTTATTACGCAAATTTGAACGGGGCTTGGGGAGTCGCAGATGGCAACGGTATTGCTTGGCATTTTGCAGATAATTCTACCAATAACTGGATCTTTCCGTCTTTTACAGAGATGAAGGTCAGGTACATTTAGAGGTGAAATCAAAATCAAAAATAATTTTAGATTCGCCTGCTTCCCCCCCCCCCCCTCCCCAAGGAAAATCTTGTGAGGAAACTAGCCCCCCCCCCCCCATCCGCGTCCCCTCACCCTGGACCACCCCCACCCCTTTTTGCACCTACGTCACTTTTTTGGGGAGGGGGAGGAACCAACCATGTATGAAGTTTTTGACTCTTCTCCAAACTTCAACCCGATATTTAAAAGTTAGTTGCCTATCCTTTACAGGACGTTGCAGAACCTCTAACTAGTCTCTGTGAGCGACATGCTTGTTAGGGATAGCTGGTCTATTCTTTATCTTTCCAAATTTGTGTTCGACACCGAGTCGAAGAAAAAAAAAACATTCACGTCAAAACTCTCGTGATGTCATTTATTTTTTTGTAGTTTCCATACCTGCTGGCTTTACTTTTTTTTTTTTTTTACTTGCCTTTCCTCTGAGCGTCGAGAATCGACAAGATCAACTTGTCACTCCTGGTTTTAGAAAGCCGAAATCTGAGTGGTCGAGTCAAATTCCTTAATCAGTTTGTTCACCAAAGCTTTGAATGTGAGGCTGTGGAAAGGTAGGCGGTGAAGCAGCCAGCGCACGGTTCATCATCATCAGGTGCTTTGCCGACTGGCGTGGGGCAATCATGCCTCTCCACAATCTGCGATCTCCTACGCAAGTATTAGTTCGTGTGCTGACACACCTCCATGCCATGCAACAAGACTCAAGAATCTTCTCTCTTTGTATTCCTCTATTCCTTCTTTCACAGATCTTTCCCGTGGTCACAAAATGTTTAAATGTTCTTTCTTCTCATAATAGAGCTTTCACCCTGTATGGTTTTCATTCTGTAGTGTACATTTCACGATGTACAAAATCTGTCGGTGAGTTGCCGTGGTCTAGCGGCTAGACTCTCGCCTGGGGGATGGGAGGTTGTAGGTTCGGGTCCTGACAGAGTACAGACGTTGTTTCCCCAAAAAAGGCTTTGATTCCCGGGTCGACCCAGTCTGTTATCCCGCGTGTTCCTATCGATATCATTGATGGAATCTAGTCCATCGCCTGTGTCCTCTCTCACCAAATGTCAGTGTAGGATTTATCTTGCATGTTCTCGTTGTCTCAGTCCATTTGTTTCCAATTCGTTGCCTGTTTAGTGATTATCTGCTCGCTTACAATGTGTCCAATATAGGACCGTCTTCATTGTGTTTTCTTTGTTGATGTAAAACGTTGACCATACATAACTCTTATTTTTTTTTTTTTTTTTTTTGCACCAAATTTCTTGAATTTATCCCATTTAATTTGTCATTTGTTTCCTCTGGAATGTATTTAATTATTATTTTTTTTCTATTATTATATTTATTATTTTGAATTTGCAAATGTTGTAATAAAATAGTGAGAAACAGGGGGCAAAAAGTGTGTGTGTTTTGTTGTTATTACTTTCCTTGTTATTGTTGTTGTTGTTAAAGAACATTGAGTATAGAGACCAAAAACACGAGTTTTCGATTCAATGATTATCTTAGTAGACCAGATAGACAGACTTTCCCATAAACACATACAGCACAGAACACGATGATAGCTTGCGGTATATTTTTTCACCAGTCTACACACTACCCAGTCTGTTTGTCCCATTCTAATCAACTCTGCCAGGGGTAACCCACACACAGTTTGTTTTACTTTTTGTCATCCAGTCAACACAGCCAACCACAAAAAATAACCACTAATAGTTTATGTTCCTGAATAACCTAAACACTATCAACACACAGGCATAACACAAGCGTTGCTGTATATCGAGGCCCGTCCCCTACGTTGTTTCGTTGCGTCCAAAGCCAGCTCGAGGCCCTCTCGGCTACCTCGCCCAGTTTTTTAAGTGTTCGTTTCCGTTCATTACCGCGCAATCCTAGTTCAATAGCCCATTCAAATAGTTGTTTCCCTTTTTGAGATTATGCACAGTCTGTCTTTATGGTCGTGTGTCCTTAAACCCGGAGTCCTGTACCATGACTGACCAACTGTCCACATTTTTACTATGCCACCTGATGCATTCCACGAGTTTCACTTCATTCCTGGCTGATCAGCGCCTAGTTCCTCGCGCTGTGCCAGTCTACTTTCTGCTCATCAACCTCTCTCAGTAAGATGTCTCACTGACCAACAATGTCCATACACTGGTCACTGCAGAATTTTTTACTTTATCTCTCAAACGAGTAAAGGAAAGACACGGAATTTTTGAGGGATTTCAGCACGAGAGATAACAAAAAACAAAGATGTATGAAGAAAAGTTAAATAGCTGCCACCATAATCAGACGGTGTCTGAGGCTTAGGCATTGCGAACCCGCTTCGTAATGCCGGCGTGATGGATTCGATCCTAGTTGCAGGCGATTTTTGCCTTGCGTTGATTTCGACAATGGTATTTACAGCCGACTGTTCTGGAGCAGTGTCAAAACATAAAATTTGGCTAGAAAAACCACAACAGCCAAAAAATGTTCCGGTTGGTTCTGCAACGTCCTGTTAGGGTACGGAACTAACGTTAATAAAATACTAAATGAACAACAGGAGTGAATAGCTAAGGTTGCAACCACAAAAAATAACCACTAATAGTTTATGTTCCTGAATAAGACGGAGCAAATAGACAGATTCCATACCCAACAGGGGCACCGCCACTAAAAAGATCATTAGGGGGGAGGGGCAATAGGAGGCCCTAATATTTTCTAGGCAAGAAGAAGAAGAAGAAGAAGAAGAAGAAGAAGAAGAAGAAGAAGAAGAAGAAGAAGAAGAAGAAGAAGAAGAAGAAGAAGAAGAAGTTAGTCTTCTTCTTATTCTTTCTTCTATCCCCCAATGGAGCATAGGTCCGTCAACCAACTTAGGCCAAGTCGTTCTATCCTTAGCTATTGCTTGCAGCTCTCCCCATATCATCCATATCTTTTTGACTTCACTCTCTAGATCCATTTTCCCTTTTTTTCCTGCCTTTATTTATACTCCTCTGTAGATTCCAGACAATTCTTCAAAGATATTCTTGTTATATTGTTATCATGTTATGAAAATGGAGGTTAGTTCGACGTTAGTATTCCCAAATGGAGTAGGTAATTTTTCATTCCCAAGTTTGTTGGGCTGGTCGACTTTACTGAATGTTACGGGTGTGTCCCGCTCTGTTGTTTGGCGTTTGCGATGTCTTGCATTTACGCAGTCATTCAGAGAAAGAAAATGCTTGTGACATATGTTGCAGCACTCTCTAGGGGAGTTGTGTTAGACACAGTTTCTCCAAGTTTTTGAAGTATTAAAAGCGCGGGCGTGCTGAAATATACAACACGCGGTATTAACGGCATTGCGGAACACCCCCGTAACCGTGTGCGAAGGTTACGGGGCTCAGCAACTACCAATCAGAAGTGAGTATATGGGCGGGATCTGGGGAGACTAACGTCGAACTATCTCTGTTCTTTAGTTTATTCACTGAGTGCTGACAGGGCTACATCAGCCCTGCACTCAGAATGGATAAGACAAGACTCCCCCGTCACGCCCTTATATGGACACCAGGAGAGGAAAAGAAAATAAGAAAGACCAAGAGAGAGTGACTCTACATAGAGCCATCATCAGGGAAGGCTCAACCATGGGCCTAATGAACGTCTCAGACCTAAAACAGGTGGCAAAAAGCCGCCAGATATGGAGAGTTTTGACCTCTGTTCTATTCACTGCCCTAGACTATATAGTCCACACATGGTCTTATTCCAACTTTCTCCCTTTTCCTGATATTCATAACCCTGTCTCTTCTTGTGTTGTTAGTGACCTGGCGGAGACAGCGCATTTAACATGTAGTAATTTCCTGTTCTAGTGCCCTATTCATTGTCCATGTTGGGCACTGATAAAAGTAGCAATAAATATGTTATTCATCATTTGCTGTTTTTCTGGGTGACTAAGCATTGGGGCTAACTGGTAGGTGACAGCATTTGCCTTCTGTACTCTTGCTTCTATCTGTCTGTCTCAGCAAAAAAGGCATTCATTCATTCCAGGAGCCTAATGTGATTCAGTGCAAAAATATTCTTGTTTTATTGCTATATGCATTTTTTTCGGAGTGAGTTTCCTGTCTAAAACCAGCATCTTATTCTCATCTCTTGACTGGTTGGATTTTATTTGATTCCCTGCCAGAAAACCGACTCTAAAACAATAAGTATTCAAGCACGACCTTACAGTGAGTGGGTTTGCAATCGCTTCGCTTCTCCAAATGACGCTGAAAGAAACAGGATGGAAACAGGCGCATCCATGTAGGCTGTTTAAAGGTAAAGTCGAAAGATGTGAACCAGCGACATTGCACACGGTTAAAAATCATAAGCGCTCTGCCACCAGTACGGACAGCTGATACGAAACTGTCCGCCTGTGTCGCCTTCCGCACGAAACTCCTGGCTACAGCGACGTTCCTCCAATTACCCCAGAGTTTTAACTCTGGTACCCATTTCCTACTGGCTGGGTAAAACCCAGGGCGCAGTCCGGTTTCGAACACCGGCCGTGTGCTGCAGCGATTCGCAGCTGGGTTTGAAAGCGAGTTTCCTGTCGACTGTGCTACGGCCATTTAAGATTAAAGATGATATAATGGTTCCGTGACATTCAAAATCCCTGAACCAAGAACTGGTGCACTGAAAGTTCGTGTTCGCAAAACCCACTGAGATAAGAGCTTTAAAATTCGTGCAAATGGAAGAAATGATAAAAAATACACACAATAAAAGCGTGGCCTAATATGCTGGCGGGACGCAGAGTCTAGACCACAAGTTCCCAAACTGTTTTGGGCTACGCCGTTTTTTTAATGATGAAACTAACCAACAAAAAAAAAAAAAATCGCTTAGTGCCTTCTCTTCCTAGAAATACCATCATCATCTTGTGCAATGCTGAAAAGCATAGGCGGTATTGATTTGCCCTCCTACACGATCTGAAGAATCACGGATTCGGTCAGTCCCCCCCCCCCCCCCCCCCCTTCTTTCTCCGCCACACGGCATGCGGTTAAATCACCATTACTTCATTT